AACCAAGGTGGACAGTGTTTGGTGGAGCTCCCCAGTTGAAACAAACTTAGAAGCAGGAGTGGCATTAGCTTCCGAAATAGCTTGCCTCCAGAAACTCTATGAACTTGGAGAAGTGATGAAAGTTAAACAAGTGTTCAAGTCTTTCATTCATAAGTTCACTATGAGTTGTCTACGACTTGAGGGCACTTAACAGCAACAACATCATGAGATATTTATGCATTATTTTTCTCCAGCACCACAACTCAAAGGCATCAGTTCTTCTGTCATCCTTATTTATTGCAGGTGATTGAAAAGATCATGCCTCACTCAGGCACACTTTAGTTTTCAAACTAACAAAAAAAATTGCCTTTGAACCCAGAGACACTTTGAGGTACAGCTCTAGTGATCTGTTTCTGAAAGGTCACAGCTATGAAAATCCTATGGAGCATGATTGTACTCTACACAGAGGGAATCTCCATGAATCGGAACAAACTTAGTGGCAACTGTTTCGGGTTTTGTTTTAATCTAATATAAAGGTCTTTCTAAAACGAGAAAAACAAAGAAAATAGCTTTCTGTTTTATAGAGGAAGAAATTAGAAAGAAGCTCTTATAAGCCAAAGAATGCCTAGAACCACTAGAAGCTGGGAGAGGCAAAGATTCTTCCCTAGAGCCTTCAGAAAGAGCTTGGTGAGCTAAAACCCTGAATAGGTCTAGCCTCCAGAGCTAAAGGCAGTAAGTTTCTATTCTTTAAATTCACCCGGTTTGTATATTTTGTTACAACAGATTTGAAAACTAATATAGACATTTTATCCCTAGAAGCCTATGTACTCAGATATTTTTTAATCTTTTTTCTTTTTTCTTCTTTTTCTTTCTTCTTTTTTTATTAAATTTTATTAGGTTTAATGAACATTTACAGAGATTTTGGATTTCCATTCATTCGTACTCAAATATTTGATTCCGTTTTCTCAGCATGGTTTCTTAAGTTTTAGTCTTTCGTCTTTCACCCAGGATATACTGGTCTGTAGTCATCAGATTCTGAATGTAGAAAACACAAAGCAGAGGTAAACTAAATGTAATCACTTTAATTATTCTGTTTTAGAGATAGTGACACCTTTTCTCCAGGAATTTAAGATTCAGAGATCCTAATCTTAACAGCTAAGATCTGACATTGGCTATAATGCTCCTAGTGCCATGGACTCTTCTAAACTCCACTTGCACATCTGGCAGTTCTTTGTTGATGTATTGTTCCAATCCTTTTTGAATAATCTTCTGTAAGATCTTGATTGTGTGTAGTATTAGTGACATTTTTTGATAATTCACACACGTTTGGGTCACCTTTTTTTGCAATGAGAAAAAATATTGACCGCTTCGAGTCAATTGGTCAGGTGGTTATCCTCTAGATTTTTGGCACAACCTAGTGAGTGCATCCAGGGCTGCGTCTGTTTGTTGAAATTTGTCAATTGGTATTCCATCAATTCCTGAGGCCTTGCTTTTGTCCAATTCTTGAGTCAGAGCAGGTTGAACTTTATCATTTATCACCATTGTCTCTGGATCATATGCTATTTCATTAATTTCTTCAGTATCAGCCAATTATTTTTCGTACAGTGACTCTGTGTATTGCTTTCATCTTCTTTTGATGCTTCCTGGATCATTCAACATTGTGCCTATAGCAGCCTTAAGTATTGCAACTCAGAACTTGAATTTGTTCTTCAGTTTAACAAATCCCTTTTGATTTTCTGACTCCAGGCATTTAACTGTGTGGATCACAACAAATTGTGGCTAACTTGGAGAAGAATGTGAAACCTATACTTTGACCAGGAAGCAGTTGTCAGAACACAGCAAGTAAACACTGCATGCATGGTTCAAAATCAGAAAAGGTGTACATCAGGGATGCATCTAATCTCCATACCTTTTCAGTTTGTATGCAGAACAGATCATTCAGGAGGCTGGATTTTATGAGGTGGAATGTGGCATCAGGATTGGAGGCAGACTCATCATAACTTGTGTTCTGCAGATGACACAGCCTTGCTTGCTGACACTCAGGAGGGTCTGAAGTATTTGCTGCAGAAGATCAAGGACTGAAGTCTTCAATATGAACTGAAGCTCAATATCAAGAAGACCAAGCTTCCCACACTGGGCCAATTGGCAGCATCATGATAGGTGGAGAAGAATTGAGATTATTAACAGCTTCTCTTTCGTTGGCTCCACAGTCAACAGTCTTGGTACTAGGAGCCAGGAAATCAAAAGATAAATTGCATTAAGAAAGTCTTCTCTCAGGGACCTCTCCAGAGTACTGAGGAGCAATGATTTCAGTCTAGAGACTAAAGTGTGCCTGATCCAAGCCATGGTCTTCACTTGTTATACATCAGAGAGCTGGACAATAAATAAGGATAATAGAAGAAAAATCTATGTTTTTGAGTTGTAGTGCTGGAAATGAGTATTGAACATACCATGGACTGCCAAGAGAACAGATGTATCATGGAGAGGGTGAAACTAGGCTGTACCTTGGAGGCAAGGATTTTGATGCTCTGTCTCACATACTTTGGACATGTGGCCAGGAGGGACCAGTCCCTGGAGAAGGACATCATGCTTGGAAAGGTGGATATATGGATCAGGAGAGGAAGACCCGAGATGATATGGATTGATACAGTAATTGGGATAATAAGGGTAGGTGTGTCAGACAGTGAGACTGGCTCAGGATAGAGCAGAGTTCAGAGCTATTGTATATAGGGTCACTATGAGTTGCAGTTTACTCAAGCCACATGTAACAACAATAATCTTAACAACCCCTGAACCTGTCCAGGTTAGAGAAAGGAAACAACCCAGAGAAGTACTACTAGTGGTGTTTACACATGCTCATACTTTCTGTCTATAAGTGAACTTAATAAAATAAAATCTCTAGACATTCAGAATGTTTTAGAATGTCAGAAGGACAAGCCAGGTTTGCATGCTGAGGAATACAGTTATTGAAACAGAGAACTATGTCTTTGTGATAAGATTAATTATCATATGTAGCAATACTCATTGCTGTCAAGTCAGAAGAGACTCATAGCTAACCCTTCATTGAGGTTTCAGATGCTTTAAGCTGCACAGGATGAAATCGTGCATCTGCTTGTGGAGCCACTGGTGAATTCCATTTGGCAGAGAGGTGCTGTCTTACGCTACCAGAACTCCCTTACGTGGAAAAAAAGCCCTGGTGATCTGTTTCTGAAAGGTCACAGTGATTCATGGCCTAATACATACCTACATGAGTTCCTGTGTCCTGCAATTAGTAATGCATTTGGCTGCAAGCAAAAAAACTGAAGGTTTCAATCTGCCCACAGAGGTCCTCCAAAGAAAAGCCTTTCTAAAATTCAGCCACTTAATTGATAATGAATACTTGTTAAAATGGGTGACAAGAAAGACAATATGGAATGAGTGGACAATCAGGCACTATTATAATTAATGTAATAGAACAAAATGTATGTAATAAAACAAAATGTATGCTATTATTGACTTAAAAAAAAACCAACATGCTTTGTCAATTTTCATGCAAACCACAGTAAAATATCCAACACTAAGACTCCTAGAGCACACAGTTCTATTCTGACACACAGGGTCACCACCAGTCAGAGCTAACTCATTAGCAACTAACAACTTGAAATTAGATCTTTATTATTATTTATCAAAGAAGTGTTAGGCATCCCCTCCCTCACCATGAAGCCATGCCAACTAATACTTTCGGGAATTGAAGATTATAAATAGTGTGTTTTACACTTGACATTTCACTGTTTGTTTGCCTTCTTTTTTAGGAGAGGAGTTCATTACTTCGGAAATGGTATGACTTAATGATACAGAATAAAGATGACCTTGCCAAGATAATCACAGCTGAAAATGTAAGTGTCTATACTTAGAAAATGCTCAGGAAATCGTAGCCTAAAGTTTGAGACATTCTTTTTCTACAAGAAGTGTTGAAAGTAGTTGGGCTTTTTCTTCATTTGGTCTAGCCATTCTCAAATCTGAGGCTGATGAATGGACACTGACTAGGCCCAGAGGGACAACTTGGGCATCGATGCTGACTAAGCAGTCTGCATAGCCAAGTGGTCAGGATGTTAAGAGTCTGAACCCTGAAGCTCAAGTGGAGCTTCGTAGTTACCAGTCCTGCCCAGGAGCCTGCCCTTCTTTGGAACATGGAAGCTCTGTGCTAAGACCCCTTCCAGACCCAAACTGTTGGATGTCCTTGTTACATATGAGGCCTTATTACTAGAAAAAAAAACATGATTCTGCTGCCTATGACCAGAAAAATCAATCTTGGAGACAGAGGTTGGAGTGGGTAAAGCAATTTTATTGGGTGGCCCTGGTGGCTTAGTAGTAAGGAACTACACTGCCAACACAAAGATGTATAGTTCGAATCCACTAGCTGTTCCACGGAAAAAAAGGGGAGTAGTCTCCTCCTGTGCAATTCACTGCCTCTAAAAACTCACTGGAGGGTCAACATTGGATCAGTTCTGACTTAATGGTACTTAACAACAACAGCATGTAAAAGAAGTCTGAGTTCCCTAAATCTGTCCCGTCAAGGGAAGGAAGATTCTGAGGGGATATTTGTAAGCTAAGTTAAAGGCATGGGGAAGAGCTCATGTTTATACAACATTTTTAGGAGGGACAAGCAGGGAGCAAGCTCTGATAGCCTAGTCCATAGGGAGTTGCACTGCTTACCAGAGATGCCTCTCTGGTGGTTAGAATCCACTAGCAGCCCTGGGGAAAAGATGGGCAATCTGCACCCATGTAATTTACAGCCTTTAAACATCCCATGGAAGGATCAGCTATGGGTTGGTTTCAATCTAACCCTGGCAGAGCTTTGAGTGGGTGAGCCTGAAGACAGAGTCTGTCTCACTTTTGAGACAGTGTGCCTTGTGAACAAGTGGTGGCAATGATGGAAAAGAGAAAACATGAGGATTGGATTCATACTTACACTCTGAGAGACTCTCTCCTTATGCTAGCCACCTCTGACAGGGCACCTTGCTTGCAGTCATTCCCTCAACTGACAAAGACACTATCTCTAGTTAGGAAGACTAGCCTAGGCTCCTGGGAGGACAGCAGAAGTTCAGCCCCAGACTGGCTGCCATACACCTTGATACACCCTCGACCAGAAGAGGTGCTAATCATGACCATAGTGTGGCTCACATGTTTAGGCTTTGTCGCCATCTAGATGAGAAGAAACTCTGACTGGACTGGGCCTCTCAACTCTAGTCTTCTGCTAAGCTGAAAGAGACACTGTTTCAGGCCACACAGTTTGTTTCCTATTTCCCATAGCATCCATGTTTGTTTACTATATTTATATGTTTGCTATTTTATGATTTGCTCCTATAAGTACAGCACTTATTTATCAGTTTGCTATATTAGAGAAGTAACTTGTATGTTCCTATTTACTTTATAGTTTATATATCTGTCTGTATATTTGCTTGTTTAGTTTGCTGTTATGGGTGCATTACTTGTCTGTCAATTTGCTGTATTTAAATGACTTGCATGTAGCTTTGATGCTTGGAAACTATGCCAAGAGTATTTTCAAATACCAGCAGAGTCACCCATGGTGGACAGGTTTTAGCAGAGCTTCAGGACAGGCCAAAAAGCAGGATTGGCCATCTTCGTGTGAAATAATAGGCCTTCAAAAATGCTATGAATAATAGAGGAACATTGTTAGATATGTACCATAAATAGAGTCCTTCAAATCAGAAGACACTAAAAATTAGTAAAAACAACTATAGTTATCAATTAAAAATTATAACATGGAAGTGTTTGAAGTTTGACTCTAGGAGATCTAGGACTTATCAAAAATTAAATGCGGAGTATAATCATCAAAATTCTAGGCATGAGAAGCTGAGTTGGAGAGGTATTGATCACTTTCAATCACACAATCATATGATCTATTGTGCAACAATGATAAGTTGAAGAAGAATGGTGTTCCGTTCATAGGAAAATATAATTCAAGATCCACCCTGAAGTACAATGCTGTGAATAATAGAATACTATTCATATCCTTTCGAAGACTTGTTAATTAAACTATTAGTTGGTATTTGTACCAGCCACTAAAGTCAAAATGAAGAAATTGAGGACTTTTTCAAAGTTACTGTACTTAGGGTCGCTATGAGTTACAGGAAACTCAACGGCACATAATAACAGCAATAGACAACTCTTGCAGTCTGAAATTGATTGAACATACAACCAATATGCATGACTAATAGTTGGTGACAGGAATGCAAAGTTGAAACCAAAGAATGACTAATAGTTAGTGACAGGAATGCAAAGTTGAAACCAAAGAAGAAGGACTGGTAGTTGTAAAATGTGGACTTGGTCACAGAAATAATGCTGAAATTGTTACTGACTAAACGTCCTCTCTGTAATTGTGAATTAGAGGCAGAATGGGCAGAATTGCTTTTTTTGTTGTTTTGTTTTGGGGTTTTTTTTAAATTTTTTAAAGATTTTATTTT